AATAAATGCAAAGCCCTGAAGGACCACAGAAGAGAGGCTCATGTTAAAAGATGAGAAGAGCCCTCAATTCCCAGGATCCTGCCCGACTTGAGCAGACAGTGCTGAGCAGATGAGGTATCTTTAACAGATTGTCTCAAACAGGGGCCAGAGTCCTTCCCCAGTCATGGACCCTGGAAGTGCTTAATGACAAAGCATTTATGTCATTAGCTTATAAGGATGATGCAGCATCTTAAAGTAAGTCTCATCCTCAAAAGGCAACCACTGGGTCCAGAAGAATATTTTTAAAGTACACTATCTTTGGAGGAAGGTCACAAGCACACTCAGAGAAAACTGCGTGGAGAAAATGAGGACCAGAGTTATTTACAGCAGAGAAAGTAAGCTATGCACACTGATACAAAAATAAAATTCAATAACAAGAGGAATTCTCTCATCTTATGTAAGGGTCAGAAGGGCAACAGTCTCCCGGAATCTCATGGCATATGGAACCGCAGTAATGAATGGTATTAAGATGATAAATGGACTGACCTTTGGCTAATAACAGTGATCTCTCTGACAAACGCATTCAGATGTTGGAATACAAGCTTTTATGAGATAGAGACTTAACATTAAAGTGTGCGTTTTTTCGGGGTGAGGGGGAGGCATTCAGAAAGGTAGGTTCCCTAAACACACAAGAAAAGGAAGCAGGTGTTACAGGAAAAGAGAGCTGTTGAGACACAAATATGCAGGACACTTAGGAGAGGAAGAATTAAGAGACACTTTAATAAGATATATCTAATGTTAACACAGAACAGTCCTATCCCTTGTGCCCAACGGGCTTCGAAGTCCTTGCAGAGACAGAAATATTGCACATGCCTTTGATGCGATGTGCAGAGTCAGAGGAGACAGCCAGGACAGAGTCGTTGGTTCAGCATTTCTGCAGGAAGAAGGATATCCCTATAGACACAGTTGTCCCCTCCATAAACAGTTTGTGCTTCATAAAACTCATTTCAGCACTCATTTCTAGTTGCTTTCTGCTTACGTTTCCCCAGATCAAACCACAGCTCTCACAGTCCTATGGGCAACTCTCAAGGTCAAGTTTATCTAGAGATCTCTCACCCCTGGAAGCAGGACAGGTTCTTGAACGTGCATACAGATTTTATAAAGAAGTTATGATACAAAATTATTGTCTGGAAAAAGAGGAACAAAGAATGATTTCACTGTTTTGAAATATTTTGCCTGGTTTACGCACCAGAATAAAAACAGGTCACAGTAGGAAGCAAGATGACTGATTCCAAGCTCAGATGTAAAAATTAGTATGTTTTAACTTCGATAGAAAGAGAGACAAAAACTCAGCAATGACCCAAAAGAAGAGCTAAGACCTAACTGCTCTGTGGCTAGTGCAGCAAGGGCTCCCAACCTAAACATGTTGACAAGACTGCATGAGAGGTTTCCCATGAAAATATGGATATTGATAGCCTAAAATTTAATCAAGAAAACCAATTCTGTTCAGATCTGCTAGGCTTCAAGCAAGTCAAGGGTACATTAAGTCCTTTGCTGTAATGTAAAATTAACTTATTTATGGAAAAATTTAAGTGCTACTTAAAGTACTGAAACCACTGTCTCGGTAGATAATATTTCAGAAGCTAGCAGAAAGCAACACTTAAGAGAGTTGTTGCTCCCTTCCCCCCACCCTCAAATAAAAAAAAAAAAAAAAAAAAAAAGGAAAAGCAAAGCAGCAAGCCACTCACCTCCGTTTTCACAGTTTTATACATCAGCCTGAAGAACTTTAAGTATAAGAGGAACCACAGAGCAACATGGGCACGCACACCATGATTTATTGCATGTCTCACCTGCCTAGTGGCGCAGTGAACCAACAGAGATGCTGGATTATATACTGCACAATTTTAATTCTCTCATCTAGTAAACACAGTAAATAAGAGTACAGCCTGTCCCAGTTTAATGGACGGATCCTTTGCTACTTGGGTGCGATGCTGCTTACATCAAATCTGGTGGAAATTTTTGTTACGACTTCTAAGAAGGAGGAGGGGCTGTTCTCTCATGAAAGGAGACGAAAAGACCTTCCACTGCAAAGCAAAAACCGCCATGAAAACATCTTTGAAAAGAGACCGCAGTACTACAGCTCGAGTCTGAGCAACCCTACCCACGTGGCTTTGAGGCACCACTACCACAGAAAGGGTTCCCAGAGCAACTGCATGGGCCAGTTGCTTTATCCCTCAGGTGAGAAGGTCTTTTTGGAAAACTTTCATTTGAAGGATACCAGAATCTAGGAAAATTATCTGATTGCTCTAAAAATAGCAACTTTATACCAACCGGTTTGGAGTTTAATGGGGATCTTCACTCATGAGGAGTTAAATGGGTCATCAACTTCAAGTACATGCTTAAGGTTTTCTAAAACCCTTGAGGAATAATTGTGACATCTCCTTTTTACACTGTTGGAAAACTGCTTGTTACAGGACCAGGCCAACTAGTGTCTCCATCAGCAATGACCCCACACTGCACACAACAAATATCTTTGAAATGAACCTTTTGCTTTTAAGAATCGTTCCTCTTCCCGGGAACTACTTTACATTATTCTGTTCTGTATTTCAGCCAAAGATTTCTAAGAAATGCTTCCACACTTCTGTTTTATACGGACATCTCCGCTTGTTCCCCTAAGGGGGTTCAACATACAGAACTCGCTTTTCCTGTGACCTTCTTACACATTTCAGAGGAAAAATAAAAAGACAGACATGAAGCACTTTCTCATTCTCTGAAAAGAACAGAAGTCATGCTCCCCACTGCTCTCCCCCCAGTGCCTGTCTCAAAGACAAAACCTCCATTTTAAAATCAAACTGAAGAAAAAGGACATTTGATATCATGGTCTAGGAAAAAGCTCCCACTGAAGTTGGCAGGAATCTTTCCACCAATTTCAGGAAGAGTTGAAGCACATTGCTCCCAAACACTAAGAGACAGAATATAAACTCCACATTCTACCCTAAGTGGGTTTCCTGGTTTTGTTATTCTTTTTTTCAAATTTGAGCTGAGACTAGTACTTTCAATAGAAAGCACAGGTAACTTTTCCTCTATTACTATTTGTACACATAATGCAGTAAAGTCACTCACTTATCATGCACTTCTCTGGCTCACCTGGATCTTGGGCTATTTTTTTGAACATATGAAAAATACCACGTTCCTCTCCTGGGTTCAGTAAACGTGGCCCATCCACCTTGGTGAAGACTGGTAATTAACGCCTTTTGGCAGGAATCATTCAGTGTTTCCAGCTTACTTCCCTGCTCTGAGTAAGTGGAGGGAGACCAGAGACCTGACTTGACACTAGCTATTGCACCTGATTGAAGACGAAGCCTTACTTTGCCGCATATCAACGCACTAGAAATTTAGAGTGGGTCTGAAGCAGGGCTGGATGGCAACTCAGAGGTGTAGTTTCTCGAGTAGTTTCCTGGGCCAGTGAACACTTCCCCTTGCACAAAACCCTTGTGGCTTATCTAGGCCTTTGACATGAAGATTTGGCCAAAATCTGTGTCAAGTGAACAAAGTGGATTCCAGTGTTCTGCATTAATGAAATAAAAATAAATATTTTAACTTCTGAAAGTGAACAGCAAATTTAGCTCCGTGACCAAGTCCTCCACATCTCACAGGAGACCCTCACAGTCATTCTCCGTTAAGGATTCATCCTCATCAATGATCCATCAGGTGGGCTCCTCCTCCTTAATCGGATCATTCTCCTGTACACTCTGCTGCTCACTGATGAGTTCTACATAGCTAACACGCTGCTTCCATCAACCAGCTCTGTATTCAATACAGCTGAGCCAAATTTGGAAGAAAAATTTGTAACAAAATAATTTCAATAATATTAAAGCAGCTACAGCTATCAGGAAAAGATACACAAAAAGGAAGCCACCTAAGAAAAACGTTTACTCATTTATACTAACGTTTAGGTTAAATACACAAAGATGATACGTTGTGTCAGAAAAGGAATTTCACTGTTATTACTGGAAAACACACACAGTACACTGTTTTAACAGTCAAGTCCAAGTGCATGAGTCCTTAAAGGAACACAGCTGGATGGTCGGGGGAGAAATGGGGGAGTTGTGCTTTTGCTTCTGTTTGGGGGGTTGGGGTTTTTTTTCCTTAATTCATTTTAGGTTTTAAGCCAGAGCAGATTTTTCTAGCATCCCTTCATCTTACCACAAAAAGCAGAGTTCTGCTGCAAACTCCGTATCAGATGTGTATTTTGCTGGATGAGCAAAATCAAATTTTATTTAAAGAATGGGACAATGAAATAATGCTTCAGATTCATTTCCTTTTAAAAATGCTCCTGGTTGGATTTCCAACACTGGGAGAATATGGCCACAAAGGATTTGAGTTACAAAACCCCAACGTTTTAATTAACTGCTTTATTGAAGACATGGAATTAAAAAAAAAATTCCCATCAGTATTCAGAAGCCTTCAGTAGTATTCAGAAATAATCTAAGCTTCATGCCTAAACTGATCAGTATCTGTTTCACAGTGGTACATAAGCAAAGAAATATTACATCTAGATTTCCCCCCTCCCAAATCCAAAGTTATGCCTTTGGCTTAGCCTCTCAAATTCACACTAGATTGTTTCTTCCCAACAAAAGAGCTCGAGCCTTTGGTTTGCAGCTGGAACTGGCATGACCGGTAACCACAGCCCAACTGGGAAGCAGTGGCTGTTTAAGCCCTACAGCTTGATCACTTCCAGGCAGGTACCCACACACTGAGGCTCACTGCTTCCTCCCATAGGAAGAGCCTGTCCATGAGCTGTTGTTTCCCCAGGGAGGTCAAACAGAGGTTCTCTAATTTAAGGACAAGAGGCATCAAGTCATAAACTGAAGTTTTTATTACTTTCCTGCCTTGCTGCTCCTATAAGCACGCAGCAAACCTCAAATTTAAAACATGTAATTCTGCAGCAATACTCCACTCTTCCACACGAAGCCCGGTGTTAGCCCGCACCCATCCACACGGGCCGCAAGGTTACTGACCTGTATCATGTACAGCTGTGCAATTCGATATTCTTCCACGCTCA